ACTCCCTGCCCTGCAGATGTGCCCCGGCTAGCGGGGGGAGGAGGAGGAAGCGGGGGGAGAGAGAGAAGGGGGGCGGCCAGGGCTTCAGCGGGGCGCTGCCCCGCGGCCCGCCCCACGGCCCCTCCCGCCGTGCCCCCTGCTGGGAGGGCTCCGGTCAGCTGGGAGGGAAGGACGCGGGCTGCCCTGCCGGGCTTGCTGCAGGGCGCTCCCGTCCTCCGCGCCGCCGCCCCCCCCCCAGAGGGCGGCCGGAGCGGAACAACAACAAAAAAGCGGCCATGCCTCCCTAGGATTGGGCGGAATGCCGCCTCCTACAAGCTGCTGCCCCAAGCACCAGCTTGTTCTCCCGGTGCCTGGAGCCGGCCCTGGCTAGGGCGGGAGGTCACGGGGGGGCCGCAGGAAGCAATGGCGGGGGAGAAATGCGGCACGCCGGGGGAGGAAGCGGTGCTGGGGATTTGGGGAAGGGGTTTGGAAGGGGTGGAGTTGGGGTGGGGCGGGGGGCAGAGGGGCACGAAAAAGAAAGGGGAGGCGGCCAAAAATTTTTTTGCTTGGGGCGGCAAAAATCCTAGAGCCAGCCCTGCCCTCTCCAAGGGTTGCAGCTGTCTGGATGTGCCTGACTTCCATGCCTTCCTTATTCACACCTTGTTCATTCAACAGGGCAATTGATTACAAAGTGGGGGGAAGATCTTATTCTACTTCTAGCAAAAAGACATTTTTCTTTTACCTTAATTATACTACCTTAGGGGCCCGCTATAACATATTACTGAGGTTCAATACTGCTGTTTCAGTGGGGCGGCACTGGGGAAGGAGGGTTTGTTTCCGCGGGGCAGGTGGCGTGGGGGGGTGTGTGTTTCGACGGCACTGGGGGGGGTTGTTTCTGTGGGGCGGAGGGGTGTTGTGTTTCGGGGGGGCTGGGTGGCGCTGGGGGGGGGTTGGCGGCGCTCGGGGGGTTTCGGCCCTCAGCTGTTTTCTTTGGAGTAATATGGCCCTCGCCGCTTTACAAGTTGTGCAGGCCTGCTGTATGGTAATAATGTGAACAACCTGAATGTTGCCACTCCCTGACTTTTGAGTGCTGCACTCTCCCCTGTAACGAACAGCCTTTTTGTATGTAACATATGTTTGCAATACTGCTATGTGAGGTATCCACTGCCTGTTGTGTTTGGGGGCCATCTGTAAACACAGACAATAATGACAACTGGGCATAGAGGATATAAGCCCATTCAGTAGGATAAAGACTGATCTGTCCACTTCAGGCCAAACACAACATTCTGTAGATGTAGCATACCTTGGGGGCAGGTACTAGCTGGGTCTCATCCACCTCTGATAGAGACCCAAGCCCTCAATCTCCTCACACTTTAGTAACACACACAAATTTTATCATGCCAAGAACGATTTTGGCTTGTGTCTCGCTTGCCTATCATCTTGTCCTGTGGTGAGCTCCTTGGGGCAGGAGTCTTGTGCTCACACCTGTACAGAAGCAAGGATGAGTCTCAACAAATAATCTGAGCAGGGTAAGAGAGTCCCACCCAGCCCTGAGAGTCCTCCACTGCAGCCTGCTTAAAGCCAGGTCCTCGTCTAGGGCTTTTGGTGGGGGCATGGTAGAGTCCCCTGAAGCTCATTGCCTTGGGAGGGAAGGAGGCAGTGGTTCCAGTTCCCTGGGAGAGGATGGACAGGCTGGGTCACACCAAGCCCCCCGCTCTCTGTTTAGGCAGCACAGCAGCGGGGCCGGCCCCCTGCCTCACAAGCTGTTGCTGCTGCAAAGAAAGAGTCCGACGGGAGCAGAGAACAGAGCGCAGGCATCGTCCTGCCCCTCTCGCCTGAGCTGCGCAGCGCTCAGGCGGCGCCCCCCCCTCCCCGCCATGTGCCTCCCACAGCCGCTCATCATTCGTACACCTCCCGCCTCGCGGGGCGGAAGTGTGCACGATGAGGGGGCGTGGCGCTGTGCGGGGCGGAAGTGACCCCCGCGACCGGAAGTTCTGTTCCGAGAGGAGGCTGAGGACCCCGGAGAGGCCGAGGCGGGTGCTGGGTGCGTGAGTGAGACCCGCCTTGGCCTGGCCCGGCTCGAGTCTCGGGGGGTTGGTTAGTGCGAAGGTCTGACAAAGGTCGGGAGATGATGCCAGGGCCTGGGGTGGTGCCAGACAGGGACGGGGGGCAGCTGGGGCCCGTGGGGGGGGTAGGGCCGGGGTATGGCGCCCAGGCAGGGAGGGCGCCGCGGGCGGGCGGGGCGAGGGTGGTTCTGGCCGAAGGGTGACAGCCGGCGGTGGGGAGATGACCTGGGGGAGTAGCTGAGGAAATGGAGCATGAGTCGTGGCATCGGTCTGTGCTGGGGTTGGGTGATGGAGGATTTTACCTATTTCTCCGACTCCTGGGTTAGAAAGGTGCCCAGAGCTTCAGTCCTGTGTGTTTCCCTGAGGCTTCTCAATCCCCAGGTCCTGGCCCCATCAGGGCTCTGGGGGAGGGCAAGGCCCAATGTCCTCGATTTCCTGAGGCAGTTCTGCCCCAGTGTACACAAATCTACTGTAAATATTCCCATAAGGTGTTTTCAGTTTTCTGTGTTGTGGGTGCAGTTTGTTGCTGTGGTTAGAAAGTGTCAGCATCTTAGTAGGAGTGAAGTATCAGAGGGGTAGCCGTGTTAGTCTGGATCTGTAAAAAGCAACAGAGAGTCCTGTGGCACTGTTAGTCTTAAAGGTGCCACAGGACTCTCTGTTGCTTTTTAGTAGGAATGGATTTATTGTTTTTTGTAGTATCTCACTCCAAAGTGCATTAGATTAAAGACACGCTGTTATCGAATGAGCAGTCATTTGTGGGGTGGGGAACCACAGCTGTTTGATAGTGCACAGCAACACTACACAACAGTTTTGGGTGAGAGATGAAGAACAATCCCATATAGAACTGCAATGTCTGGGGAGATGTAACAAACTAGACTATAATTACACAGACTGGAATTTGATCAGTACTCCAGGAGTTAATGTCTGATTCCCCCACCTCAAAAAAAAAAAAAAAAAGGGGGGGGGAAAGCATCATGGAATCTTTGTGACTGCATTAGTATGAGACTTAAGCTTTATTCCTCTTTGGAAAGACTGACCCTCATGCAGCATAGAGTCTTTAATACCCACTGTGCCATTGGTCTGAGCCAAGTGTGCCACCTATTAAGTCCCTACGTGACTGGTAGAGGCCTCCAATCCATGTATTGAACAGGCCCAATCTTGTTTTTTGGTTATAACAGCTGATGGTATGACGTCACATGGTGTTCTGAATGCAGGCCATTTCACTTTTAGGCTGGATACTGGGACATAGTGCTTCAAGGAAGAAAATGCAATCTCATGTCTGTATCAGGCATAAACTTGTCTCTAATTGCTATAGCATGAGGTGCTCTTGGCTGGAAAGGGGAAGTGGTAGCCCTAATTTTAAAGGGAAGACTGAGCTGTAGCACAAGAAGAACAGTTTGCCTACATTAGACCTATTGGGCAGGTCCAAGGTGAGTGTCTAACCAAGTTGCTGATGTGAAGAAGGCTCTAGTTTATGCTGGTCTAGTGATGTGCTCTTACAGTGACATTAGTGGCTGGTGCTAATTGTTTGTTTTCATGTTTAGTAGACATTTCCCATGGATGAGCTGGTGCATGACTTGGCCTCGGCCTTGGAGCAGACCTCAGAACAAAACAAGCTGGATGAGCTGTGGGAAGAGATGGCCCTGAGCCCACGGCAGCAGCGGCGGCAGCTTCGCAAGAGGAGGGGTCGTAAGCGGCGCTCAGACTTCACGCACCAGGCGGAACATGCCTGCTGCTACAGTGAGGCTTCGGAATCAAGCTTGGATGAAGCCATGAAGGACTGTCGTGAGGTGTTGACTGCCAACTTCAGTGACTCAGATGACATGGCTGTGGCCAAACGCCACCCAGCTCTGAGTGCCACCCTAAAGAGCAAGCAGCATTCTTGGCATGAGTCGGACTCCTTCACGGAAAATGGACCCTGCCGACCCCTCAGGCGTCGCCGGAAGGTGAAACGTGTGACCTCAGAGGTAGCTGCTAGCCTCCAGCAGAAACTCAAGGTGTCAGAGTGGAACTATGAGAGAGGCTATAGGTTCAAGTCAGCCAAGAAGCAGCGTCTGTCACGCTGGAAGGAGAACGCCCCTTGGACTTCATCCAGTCATGGCCTGTGTGAGTCAGTAGAGAACAGGCCCTTCCTCAGTAAAGGCGGGAGGAAGGAGAGGATGGAGTGTGAAGCGGATGAACAAAAACAGGGTTCTGATGAAAACATGTCTGAATGGTGAGCTCTCCAGGCCTTTCCTTCCCCTACCACAATCAGATTATCAACTTCCTTTACAGCTGCTTGCAAAGACTGTGCCCTGCTCTAGGTAATTCCGTCTCAAACAAAAGTGCTACTTTTCTCTTAAAGATACAAGAAAAAAAAAATCCCCAAACCCTTCACAAGGTGCAAACCCTTGCCTGTAGTCCTTGCGAGCAATCCTACGGTGCTAAATCAATGTGCATGTTGTCCTCATGACCCAGTAGTGATGTGTATGTTGTATTCATAACAAACCGGTGCACTTCTGGCTCCAATGAGAAGTCTGTTGTCTCTGTCTTCACAGTGACAACCAGCATGCTAGTGGCTCTAGTCTTTGCAAGTAAAACCATGTTGACAAGTCAGTGAGTGATGGATGAGACTGATTTCAGTTTCATGATTCCAAGGGTTTATGAGAAACAGCAAAGGAAAACAGAACAAATTTCCTGTAGTGACCAGTTAGCCTTGTTTGCAGTTACTGTATGTACCTTGATCAAAACATTGTTCTGTTTACAAGTTAGTGCATGTTAGTTGTCTAGTGTAGTTGTAACAAAGGCATAGATCAAGGTGAGGCCTTTCTTACTGAAGAGAGGATGCTTTTTTTGCCATCTAAAGATGGGAAAAGACATTTTTATCTAGTAGTACCAGAGAAGAGATATCGAGTAGCACCTTGAGAATGTACATCAATGACAATGGGCAGATAGATTCCCTCACTTGATGGAGCAGTAATAGATATTGCTAGCCTCCTCGAGGTACTTTCTACACCAATCAGTATCTCTTCCATCATGTTCAATTGAACTTAAACCAGCTGGCTTTCATCCAGCCTTATCTATGCCAGCCATTGAGAAAGCAAACACACAGCTTTGTTTTGGTCCATCACCTGAGGAATGCGCTGGGTGATTGTTTTGTTTTCCCTCAGTTGGTTCCTTTCCCTCAGACTAATAAGGGTATGTCTACACTACAAAATTATGTTGACCTAAGTTACCATGACATACAGCCACTGCATTAATTAAATCGCTTTTGCATGTCCAAACTATGCTCCTAGTGTTAGCGGTGCGCATCCTCACCAGGAGTGCTTGTACTGATTTAACTGTCAGTGTGGGACGGCTTCTGAAAATCAGCAACAGTCGATGTAAGCAACACAGTATCTACACTGACGCTGCGTTGACCTAACTAAATCAATCTAAGCACTACACCTCTCACAGAAGTGGAGTTACTAAGGGTATGTCTACACTGGAAACTTCAAAGAACTGCTGCGGGAACGCTCCTGCGGCAGCGCTTTGAAGTGTGTGTGTGGTCGTGCACGAGTGCTGGGAGAGAGCTCTCCCAGCGCTCCTGGTAATTCACCTCCACGAGGGGATTAGCTCTGAGCGCTGGGAGTGCGGCTCCCAGCGCTTGGAGCCTGTCTACACTACTGCTTTAAAGCGCTCAGACTTGCTGCACTCAGGGGGGTGATTTTTCACCCACCTGAGCCAGCAAGTTACAGCGCTATAAAATGTAAATGTAGACAAGCCCTAAGTTGCAGTAGTTGGCGAGTTACATCAGTGGGAGCTACATTTTAGTGTAGATGCTTACAGAGTTAGGTCGATGTAAGCTGCCTTGCATTGACCTAATTCTGTAGTGCAGACCAGGGCTTATTGTGCATATGTTTGCATCAAATGACACTTGCCATCTGCTGCCAAATCCTTCGGATTCTCTTTGGAAATCCAGAGGTCAAAAGGTTTGACCATCTCACCTCCACATGTATGGGCTGTGGCTTGGTGAGGGGAGTGGAGTTAGAGGAAGAATACTTAGGGCAGATCAAACCAGAATAGTCCAAGGGCTGTCTGAGAACATCCTTGAGTAACACATGTGCTACCTCAAGTTCATGGATGACGCATTGTCTGTCTAATCTTTCACATAGAACAAAATCTAACTAGCCTTGTTTTGTATCGCTCAGTTTCAAATTGGATGTTGTACTAAGTTTACCAGCCAGTGATAAGGTGAGCCCTTGTTTTGTCTTGATGTTTTCTGGGCTCATAGAATGACCAGTTACTCCCCAGTTTGTAGTTTAGTTCCTTGTAAATAGTAGCAGGTTTGGTGACAGCCTGTAGTGGCAGTCATGAGCCTGGCTCAGCTGATGTATTAGAGGCTGATCTCTCAGGAAAGAAAAAATCCCCTTCTCCTGGAAGGCAAGTGACAGAGACAGAGAGCTCAGCCTCCCCCTCCTTCTCCAGCCCAGCCTGACCTTCTGCAGCCCCTTGGTGCTTCTTGTTTTCTTATTTTTATAGAAAATCAATATCCCTCCTGACACAAACAATAGCTCAGGAGCAGGAATAAACGTCGGAAAGCTGAGATCTCTGTCCATCACCTCTCACTTTAACTCCCCCAAACTATTTAATTATAAGCGTGCTTTGCTCCAGGTGTTTGCGACAGTGAAATTGCTAAATGAGGACCATTTTAACCAAAGATTGGGCGATCAATAACACTCTATAGCAGTAGCTTGTCGGATCAATAGCATTCATTATTTCATGGTTAAGGTAAGTAGCCTCCTTTGCAAGTGGAGGTCATCAATCAGTGCTTACTGGACCTGAGGAAAGGCTTGTGTACAGGATACTCAGTTTTCCAGGCCTGAAATATAAAGGTGGGGTAGGTAAGGATATCTTTCCATGAACCTTTCTGCTGATACTGCAGGTAGAATGCTGGGCATAGTAGGCATCTATAAGGCACTGCAGGGTTTTCTAGTACTTTTAGGCACCTGCTATGCTGTTAATTTGATTAGGAACTTGGTTTAATAATCCTTTCCCTTTCTTATGTTTCCTGGTCCTATGCTTTAAGTACTGTCCCTTTCTCATACAGCATGTTAGGGGATGGATGGCACAAACTTTATAAGAGGCTGGCTTAGAACTTCGTGTTAAGTTGCATGCTAGAATATGGGAGGGACTTGCAAACTCTTCCATCTGTATGTTTAAAACTACCAACGGAAAAATGGACTCTAATGCATTGATGAAGGTTCATACTTTCAGGTATCCAGTGTAATGGATTGTCTTAGCTAGTTTACAGAACATGTTTTAAAAAAAGCAATAATATGCTTCACAGCATGTGGTTTTAGTGAGTACTTAGTTAATTGTGGATGGGGTGACACTCACTGTCCCTTTGCCTTGTGTCCCATAAAGTTCCCTGAGGATATAACCACACACCATGCTGTGTGATGTTGCTCCTCCAGGGTACATGGGGATCTTATCTAACCACACTGTTGAGATTGTTTCAGATGCTAAGTTACAGCTAGCATTCACTTCTCCCATAAGGCCCTGTAACCCATGTGCGGGGTGTTGCTTTTGCTGAGAGATCTCAGAACAGTGGAGGTATTGTATAATATGTCCTAGAAAAGAAAATCCTAGCATTAAACCATCAAATACCTAGGATTGACAGCACAATGTTCAACCTTTTCAAAACTTTTTACAGACAGTTAGCAGTTTTCTACTCAGATTATTTTCCAAATAAATTCCTTGGTAAACTGTCTTCTGGAGCAGCTGCAGTGGCCAAGTTTAAAACTCAGTGTAACTGGTGGTTACCTACAGCAGCAGGCTATGTAGTACTAGTTTATTTGGATGAGTAGTTAGGGACTTGAGGCCTGGTCTACATCTAAACTTAGGTTGACCTAGCTACGTTGCTCAGTCAGGGCTGTGAAAAATGTCATGCCCTGTGTGATGTAATTAGGTCAACCTAGCCCCTACTGTAGATGCAGGTAGTCTGAGGGAAGAATTCTTCCATTAACCTAGGTACTGCCTCTTGAGGGGGTGAACTTACAACAACAGCAACCAAAAAACCCCTTCTGTTGCTGTAGTATCTATGCTACAGTGGCACAGCTGTGCTGCTGTAGTGCTTGAAGTGTAGACCCTTACAGTCCCTTATCCAGCCAAAGAGAGGAGAAGGCATTGAAGAGAGAGCATTTGTTTCATTTATGTCGGAAAATGGGAGTCTAAAAAGAAAAAGTTGTGGTACAATTGTCAGTGGCCATCGGGTGACCTACAAAGGGATCATTTAGCTTAATTTCTGTTGCCTGGTCGTTACCAGAGAAGGGGATATCTGCAGAGAGTGTCATAAATATGATTGTTAGCCTTGGTGCCTTGGCTTAATCCCATTTTTGATAATTATGTTCTGATAACCTAAAATTTCCGTTTTTAACTGGATACAGGATTCTTCCTAAACTGCATAATGTTATAGTGAGCTGTTAGACAGCTGTCATGTTCCATGCCAGAGGCAGTCATGTGTCAGTGATGAATTGATTCCCATTTTGTGTGGTATATAAAGCACTTTGGGGTCCTTTTGGGATGAAAGGCACTGGCAAAATGTAAAAGATTATTACTGCATACCCTTCAGCGGTTAACTGTTTGTTCTTTGCAGTGAAACCAGCAGTGTATGCAGCAGCAGTGACACTGGCCTCTTCACCAATGACGAAGGCCGTCAAGGTAACTACTGTCTCGTGATTTCCCTCTGGCACAATTTGGGAATTTCTCTTTTACTATGCTTGTAAATGCAAATTCAAGGCAGTGCAGGACTACAGATTGGAGGGGATCAGGATGTGCGGAGGAGGGATAGTGGCTGGGGAAAGGGCTAGGAGTCAGAGGAATTGGCTCAGATCACAAAGGTGTTCCATGTGATTTCAATAAAAATCATGCTTTTCTTATGGAAATGCTGTGATATTTATCAAATGTATAAAATCCAAATACTGGAAAGTGTGATATAAGGCAATATGTATATATGGGTTCTTGGGGACGACTACTCAGACTTTGCTGTTTAGGCCTTGGTTACACTTGCGAGTTACAGTGCTGTAAAGGTTCCCCCAGCGCTGTAACTCACTCCCCATCCACACTGGCAAGGCATTTGCAGCGCTGTATCTCCGTGGTTGCAGCGCTGCATGTACTCCACCTCCCCGAGAGGAATAGCGAGTATTGCGCTGCCGCTGCAGCGCCAGTGTGGCCGCCCAATGCGCTGTGAATGGCCTCCAGAATTATTCGGCAGTATCCCACAATGCCTGTTCTAGCCACTCTGGTCATCAGTTCAAACTGTACTGCCCTGGCCTCAGGTAACCAACCATGTGACCGACCCTTTACATTCCCCGGGAATTTTAAAAATCCCCTTCCTGTTTGCTCAGCCCGGCGTGGTGTGGAGTGCTATCAGCGAATCTTTCCAAGTGACCATGCCTCCACGCGCCAAGCGAGCCCCAGCATGGAGCAATGGCGAGTTGCTGGACTTCATCAGTGTTTGGGGGGAGGAAGCTGTACAGTCCCAGCTGTGCTCCAGCCGTAGGAATTACGATACCTTTGGGAAGGTATCAAAGGACATGATGGAAAGGGGCCATGACCGGGATGCCCTGCAGTGCAGGATTAAAGTGAAGGAGCTGCGGAGTGCCTACCGCAAAGCCTGCGACGCAAACGGCCGCTCGGGTGCTCCCCCCGCGTCCTGCCGATTCTACAAAGAGCTGGATGCGATACTTGGGGTTAACCCCACCTCCACTCCGAGCACCACCATGGACACTTCAGAGCCGGTGGGGGGGGGG